AAAATTACAGATGGATGGTGGTGATGGTTGCACATTGTGAATGTACTTAACGCCACAGAACTGTACACTTTAAAAAAATGGTTAAAATGGTAAAATTTGTTATATTTAACAACTTTTAAAATACAAAAAAAAACAAATTACAGTGCTCTATTAATATGACAAGGAGAAAATTATTTCCACCTAAAGTCACAAGGAAAGTGAAGAGAAAAATGTCCTTGAGTCGATACATGTTAAGTCTCTTGAGTAAAGATTAAACAAAAAAAGGTGAACTGTTTCTATTCTGATCTTATTGTCAACTATCCATGATAGACACCAAGACATCCTGGAAAACTAAAAATATTTCGACCTATATCACTATGACTTTAAACTTCCTATCTCTTTATTCAAAATAGCACAGCATATTAATTGCTAGAGCTTTCATTTTTTAATTCTATTCACTTTGTTGAATGAATACAGTACGTTTACAAACTGTAAATACAGAATATGAAGAGCCTATTAACTAAGTCAGAACCAGATCAGAGTAATTAATGCAGCTTCGTTGTTTTATTTTCTCCTGGCAATTGGCATGGCACCAGCCTCTTGTTCTATTTCTGAGTTCCCTATATCAGGCATTTCAGTTAGAGATTATTTTAATAGCAGCCATATTAATACAATCCCAAAGTAAACACTAAATTTGTCCCACCTTAGAAAAAGGGTCTTCATTCTCTCTGGCAAATTCCCTATTGGAGGCCATCACTGGGCCCAAATCAAAATATCCTGAATGAAAACATTATCAACTTTTCTAGACATTTGTCAGTCTCTTCTCTGCTATGAGTACTTAACAAAAGTGAATCAATGCAGCACAAACCATAGAAAATTCACAATTTAAAAGGGAAAGGGGCCAGCCCGGTGGCGCAAGCGGTTAAGTACACATGCTCCGCTGCGGCAGCCCAGGGTTCGCCGGTTCGGATCCCGGGTGCGCACCGACGCACTGCTTGGCAAGCCACGCTGTGGCGGCATCCCATATAAAGTTGAGGAAGATGGGCACAGATGTTAGCTGAGGGCCAGTCTTCCTCAGCAAAAAAGAGACGGATTGGCAGTTGTTAGCACAGGGCGAATCTCCTCACAAAAAAATAAAAATAAAAGGGAAAATCTAATTTTAGATTCAAATTATAGATTTCTAAAGGTATTTCAATTCAGTTATTCTATATAAAGGTATGTATATACATATAAAAGAATGTAAATGTGTATCTTTAACAGCCAATATTAAGTACAACTTGCTCAAATACAGGTGCAACTCAATTTTTGTAAATTAGAAATGCAGACCCACTAAGGAAGACATACATTCATTTAGTTGATTTCAGTAAGTTCCATATTCTGTCTTCAGATCTATATTCCTGTCTATTCTACTTAGTTCTAATCTAAAATTAACTAAAAGGGAAAAATACTCTGATGCTTTAAATTTCTGATAATTTCTAGAAATAAAGACATCTTTGGCTTTTTTGATAGCTCTACTCTGCTTGATGTCTCCCTTGCTAATCCTTGGTTTTAGCCACTTTTCTTAGATCACTGGAGATTTAGCCTAAACCGAGTTCTCGTTGCAAGGGGCAAAAACCCATTTGGTTATCTCCATACAAAAAGGAAATGCCTCCTTTTATCATTTTAAAAAGAAATGTAAAAGAAAAATGGCTACAACTCCCCAATTCATCTCGGTCTCCATCTGCAGTAGACACTGGACAAATTTATCTAGCTGCTTAAGAAATTTCTATTTGAATAAAACGTTAATATGCAGCTACTGGATTAGTGTATAGAATATGTATTTTAAGATTACAGAAATTCTTTAAAACTTGTTTCCCTGTTGAAACGTCAGATAAAATATGCCAAACGGCCAGTTTAGAATGAAGGAATCATTTGGCATGATAATTAGAGATCATGCACACTTGTAACTATGCTTCAACCTTTTCCTCAAAGGTATGGACCACATGAAATTGAGTGTTACTTTTGTATTCAACAATCACGATTTTATTATTTTTTCTTTTTTTCCCATAGCTTCTGAAACAAATCAAATCTGATTTATGCCATAAGAGCACATTTGCCAAAGCACTTGACTATATTACCAGTATCCACTGTCAAAACCACTGTTATAAACTCACCTGGATCTTTACATAAAGCCTTGGAATTACATATTGAGGTGACTTTTTGCTCTGCCCTGTTTAAATCTTTCTAAGCCTTCGATTGAAATCGAATTCAAATATGAAATTCTTATTCAAAAATATCTGAATGAACAAATTCATTAATCTGAAACAAATACTCAGAAAATTTAAGATACTTCTTTAAAACCCCCAATAATTCTGTAAACTTCTTTCAACCTGTTATAATCAAAGAATTTTAAAAATAGTATAGTTGTTTCTGTTTGCAGGAAAGAATATGTTCTATTCAAGTGAAACATCTTTTTTTTCCATTGTGTGTTTATTATAATCAAAAAGCATTGACTGAGTTCCCCAGAAGAAATTCTACTTAATTTTGCAGAAATCAGTACATAAATCATGGAAGTCCATAACCTTAAGGAAGCTGACACAAGACTACTGATTTTCAATCTCCATTAATCATTTCATCTTAATTCCATAGTAACTAAGATATTTCAAATTGGATTACTTAGAAACCCACAAAAAGTTGCTCTTTTAAGTTTCAAGTTTCCAAAAGTGTCAAATTGACATTGTATCAAATTTAAAAGTTAAGTCAGACACAAAGTATGAAAGCAACTTAAAAAACCTTAGGATAAACTTGCCTCCACAGGCAATTGGGTATATTTTTCACTAACAATACAAAGCTAAAAATGGAAAGTAAGAAATCAAATCTCAGGGACAGATGGACTATGTAGAAAATAGCAGGCTAAGTTACCAGCCCCAAAAGCCAATGAGACCTGAGGCAGAAGACCAAGCAGGAAAGAGACTGGTTGTAATTACCCAAATATAAATTTAAAAAGAAAAAAAAAATGAAGCATGTGATGAAATAGTATGGCTAAAAACGAAAAAATTAAAACCCACACATTTATGAGAAATTGGCAGGAGGAGGGTCTCAAATCTAGAAGCATTTCAGACCTCTATACTACAAAACCTGATTTTAAGAATATACTGATTAATCACTTACTATTGATTTTACCTATGCTCAGATAATATATTCTTTGATAGGGCAAATAGGAAAATAAAAGTTTGATTTTTCACCTCCTCTACACACTATTACAAAGAATAATTTTCTACCAACTTGAAATTTTTCAAAGCTTTTTGAGAAACACACACAAATAATTTGGATTTAGTTGATTTTATTTACAGCTTGTTTTTTTACATTTCAGAGCGTTACACAATTACATTTTCTCATTTTCTGACCTGCAAACAGATACCTTAAATGAAAATATTTTTTAAAAATTATCAAATTAGGTACATCCAAAATGCAACAATTACACATATGACAATTAATTCACAAAGTGTAATTTACCAGGACGTATCCTAAGAATTTAGGAACAGCCAGTCAGGAGAAATCTGACCAAATTCAGCAATCAACTATTTACATATCCAAAGACAAACCTATCTAAACTCCCAAACCAGAAGTTTGAAAGTTTCTGTTAAATAACCATTGGACGAAAGAGAGAGTGATGATTCAAACCTCACCAGCCTTGAGAGTTTTAATCTCAGATACTGGGCTAATTCCCCAGTTTGCAACTGAATAGCAAGCATCTCAGCTCTTCAAACACCTAAGTATCAAACTCTTGTGCCATTATGCACATAGAAAGGCTGAGTGTTCATTAATTAAAAAACAAGTAGTCATTAAATATCCACACTATTCCCCCCAGCTCACCAGCCCTTACTGCAATCCCAAATATGCAACCTGTGTCACACAGTGACAGGCTATATTTTATACATGTGTGTATATACACACACATATATGTACGTGTGTGTATACATATACACACATACACACAGTACTAGGTACAAATGGCAATTAACAGTCCCTGCAAAAATTCATTTTCAGTTGAGGCTATGGCTCCTATGCCTTGGGATGGTTTTAGACTTCAAAACTGAAAAATCCTGCTAAAATTTCACTTCCTTAAGACAAAATTTGATTGCTTGTTCAGTTTAAGCTTCTCAGTTCTAAAAATGGCTATAAGATAAGTATAAAAAAGCAGCCAACTGAGTGCAATTTCTCTCTCCAATTTGGCCAGGCTATTTCATAGAAGTTACTTCTAACTGGATTAGAGAATCTGTGGCGCCTTCCAATGGTTCTTGCCTACCTTACTGTCCATGTTCACGTTTCAAACTGTGTCAACAGAGCCCGCACTTCAGGCGTCAGCTGCTTGGCAGCCTTAGCTGCCTCTGTGATAGCCTTGCGATAGAGGCCCTTTCTCTTCTTATTAAAGCGTGACTGGAAGTTTTCTAAAAAGGGGGACAGTTGCGAAAGAGCAAGGAAAGACGTTGTTGGAGACCCGAACCATGAAATACGGGCCTCCTGTCGGACTAAAAGGCCGTTATCTTTCCGGCTCACAGTTATAGTAAGAATACGGGCTGGCCACCAAGGGAAGCCATATATCTTGGCCCAAACAATGTCCCCTACACATATGGTCCTGCCATCTGGTGTGACGCATTTAGAGACGTTTTTGGAAAACACTTTCATTTTCAAGGAATTACTGAGCTTTTTCTCTTCCTTTGAAGAGGAGGAAGTGGAGGAGGTGGAAGGTGCATGCATACTGCCTGGAGGAAAATCAAAGCTTTCAGAAGAACTACACTCGGAGTTAGAGGACTTCAAATCATCCGTGCTATCAATGCTACACACTGAAGCACTGGAAGAGTCAGATTTCTTTTGATTTAGGGTCATGTAAACAGAGATATTGCTTTTGCTGCCCTTTTTGCCCAGTGTCTGTAGTTCATCCTGCTCACCAGGCACAAGCACTTCGTTTGTGTCCTGAACCTCACTGCTGGCCTCTTCAGGGCCTTCTGAGGGACTCTGATTTTCTGAAGGGGCCTCACCTGCTGAGCGGGTAGAGGTGCAGCGAGACTGGGGCTTGGGTGCCATCTTGCCACTCTGCATTTTCTCAAGTCCTGTCTTCAGAGAAGAGTCATTTTCTTCATTCCTGTACCTTTGTGGTTTTAAACGAACCCGAGGTGGAAGGGAACCTGAGCTAGGATTCTGATAGCGACGTGTGAAATGGACTTTTGAATGTGCATTTTTGGATGCAGAGGTTTCACTTTGCTTCTTTTGTGCCTTCTCTTTGGCAATTTTCAACACTTCCCGAGCTTTTGCATGATCCATGTTCTTACTCTGGAGCACTTTTTTAGTACTTAACTGAGCTTTTGATGTATTTGCCTGAGCAGAAACCTTGACTACTCTGCCTCTGCTGTGAGCAATATTTGAAACCTTAACCACAGCATTTCTTTTCTGGCTTTCATTTTGGTTTTTCCCATCCACTTTATGGTCAGTTTTCAGTTTTTTGTTCACAGTAGTTACACTTTCATTTCTCCGTTTTTTATCTTCATATTTAGAAGAGTCACTTGCACTACTACCTTTTCTAATTTCCTTTTTTTCAGCAACGACACTGTTTTTACATTTGTCACACAGGACTTGCCTGGGTCGTAGTTTAATAGCATTCATTATTGAAGTAGGTTCTTCCCTGTACATCTTTCGTTTGGGTCGCTTAATTTTCCGAGGAGGTGGCTGAGGTATTGATTGGTTATATGTGTCCCTGATAAACAAAGGGGGAGGATAAGGTGCTCCTTCATGGAAGAGAGGAGGTGGTTTGGAAGTCCACAGGCTTTCAGCCAAGCTCCGCTCAGGAGGTGGGACAGGAGAGGGGTCACCGGGAACAGCATCACTCGCTTCATGCTTGACTTCTGTCCCTTCTTGGAATGTATTACTTTGGAGCTGCATGGCTTCAGGTTTATCCTTATATTCCCTTTTGGGAAATACTGTCACAGGGATCCCATGGGGCCCAAACCTTTGAAAGAAATGAAAGAAAAAAAGAAGCCATTAAGTTAACGTCTATAATTGAAATTTTTAAACAACAGCTGATGTTTATTTGTATGACCTTTCCTGAAAGCTATTAAGAACAAAAACAAAAATCTACTATTTCCCCTCAAAAATCCCAAAGCCCACCCACATTTTATTGATCCTACATTTTAGGTATAAACAGAAATACTCAAATGGTGGCTCTAAGCAATGCCAGAACAGCTGATCTAATTTAAGAGACCTTTCAAGTCTTGAATTAGAAAGGATGTTCTATCAGATAGATTTAATATTAAACGTCATCTGATATTATGTTCACTGAACTACAGACAACATGTCCAGGAAATGTAACTGTAAAATTGTAACACACATCTTCCTCTGGTTATAATAGCTTTCAAAAGCTTCACAAAACAAATTCAGCCATAACTACCCAAAAAGACTAAATCAATAAATTCCCACCTCAACTTTACTGGTGAATCGATAAAGATTCAAGGGCAGTTGCTCCTTTACTCTTGCATCCTCACACTTGAGCCCTTCATCCACACCCCTCACCCGCCCACCAAAAGAACACAAGAACACTAGAAGTCAGATACTCAAATCACCTCAAAAACAGACAGGTTTAGAGCTGCAGCCTTCTAACTTTTAAAAATCACATTGCACATTAGGAAATATTTTCACATTGCAATCCAATAAGAACATTTATGTACATATACATGCACACATATATATACAATAAATACACAATTAAGCAAAAATTTCACTAAATACTTAAACTTATGTGATGCATAATGATATTTTTTTCTACTCTGCTCTATTTCATTTGTTTTAATGCTAGTCAGACACATTAAGTGGATTTCAAAACTCCCCTATGGATCCAGACCCAGTTTACAAAGCACTGGTATAGGACACAAATCTTTACAATTCTCAGTTTCTAAGAAAACAGGGATCAATAACCTTATTTCTCATGTAGAATTAGAAATAACTGTGGCTCAATCTATCTGGGCTAAACATCAAGAATCTTTAAGCTAAACTTGCTATACTCAGATTCCTGCACATAAAAACAGGATCACACTACCGAATAATTTCATCATGTACATGGTAACATGTTAATTTTAAGCACTATTTGATCCAAACAGTGTTAAACACAACACAATTCTAATGCCAATCCTTGAAGGCACAGGTGCTTAGAAGCCAAGGATCAGCTTCAGGTAGAATCCCCAAATATTTTGTATGTGTCTGTCTTCCTGGAGTCTTTGTTTCTCAGATTCTCTAAAATGTCCTTAAGCCCCCAAAAACGTTCAGAATACCTTTCTTGGGAAGAAATCTTGAGACTAGGTACTTACGGCTATAGACACACCTAAACTCAGACAGGGATATAGGAAGAGCCAACACCACCAGGATATCTGGTTCTAACACCTAAATAGTTTTCTTCCTAAAGTCTTTTGTTAGCTTGGCTACCACAATCCAACAACTCAAAGCAAATACTTACAAACCACAAAGAAAGAGGAAAGCCTATTTTACCTAGAGTGGGACAAGTTTGGGTCTGGGCTAGTCCACAAAGGAAGGATACCCTCCTCACTGTATCAGACTGTGCAAAAAGTGGCTTTCTATTCTAGCATAGCATCTGGGACCTAAGTGTTTGCTTCCTGACTACTTAATTCCAAGGCACTTTGAGCATTTAGCCTTTTCTTATATATAGGTGCTCAATAACCACTTTTTCAAGATGACAGGACAAGAGAGAGGTGATTTTTGTTTTAATGTAGAACTACATAAAATATAACGTATCTGAGGTGAGACCACTATTTTATTAACAATAAAATTTTCAAACTTGTAAGAAGCCATCATTTTGCCCCCATTACTCTTTCACATGATGTTTCCATAGCTGAATAAACAACAAATTTCCTTCCTTTTATTAGTAATAACTAAGCTATAATCATCTTAATGTTTAAGGTGAAGTTTCACAGCTGTCTCTTATCAACTTTGTATCCTCAGGCATTACTAAACCTCCCTAAATTCAGTTTTGCACATGTAAAATGGGGTAACACTATTTCCTACCTTAAAGTATTCAGGTGAAGATTAAATAGGTCAATAAGGTTAGCCATTTTTCTTGGCTAAAATTTACTTCATTTAAGTAATTTGATCCTATTTTTATAGTCTCAATGTGAGGCTAACCAGCCAATTATTTTAAAGCTGTTTATATCAGATGAGCTCTGGAATCTGATATGTTTACCCTCAGGGAGTTTAGTGAGAACATTCACTTCACATCTGTGTGTTTTCCCTTGCCTTTCCTTCTTAAGCATATAAAATACAAGCGTGAAATGTTTTTAAGAACATAGGGAGGCAATTAAGTGTGTAATGATGAATGGAAATTGCAGGCACCAAATGGAAAAAAAGAAGCCAAACTGGTAATTGTGGGTGGCGGATGATATGATTGGCAAAAGCAGAAAAATAGTTTAAATAATAATAAAAGTCCCTCAAAGGACCAGAAAGACAAATCACTCTAAAAGGAAAAGGGAAATCAGGCCTAGTCCATCTCAGTAATCATGTTGTCACACGAACACAGACAGCACTTAACTCCATGGTAGTGTTTTCAATCTGAGGGTGGGGATATTGGTTGTGACATCAATTTCAAGGGTCACAACTATGATTTAAATAAAAATCAGAGTGTAAATATATGTAACTGCAATCAATCTGTTTCATGTATGTATGCATGTATATAGGGATCCACATGTAAAATATATTTGTAACAATGCTCACAAGTTTGAAAGCCACTAACTTATAAAACTGTAACCTTAGTAAGAATATAAAGTACCAACAAAACTATAGTCTCTTGAAAATCCTAAAATCTAATTTCTCAAGTACAGTCTGTGGAAATCGGCAACACAGCACTCACTGGTGTTTGAAAATGGAGATTCCAAAGCCCTGCCCAAGACTGAATCATAGACTTCCCTAGGGTGGAACCCAGGATCTGCATTTTTAGCAAGCACTTTTGCTTTAGCTTTTTCTAAGGTGAAGATATTTATGTCCCACGTGCATGCTCACCAAAGGGTGACCTCGGCAGAGGAAGGCTTTAATGATCAGTGAGAGGTGGCAGGCTGACTAATAGCCCTTGCTTCAGCTTTTTCTAAAGAACTTTTTACAAATACTCCAGGGAGTTGAGTAATAACACACAAAGTCTCTCTCCTCCTTCCCGCACCCCTTCTCTGTGCAGCATGAGGGTATTTATTAATGTATCGGTAACTCATTCAAACCCTTACCCGCTCTTAGGCTTCTTTAATCACTACCCAAAAATTCTAAAGGAAAAATATTCAGGTGTTATGGCTTAATTAAAAATAACTTCTGGGGAAAATCAGGCGCGTATACAAGAGACCTCTCTGTACTATCTTTGCAACTTCCTGTGAATCCATAAAAAGTTTTAAAAATAGCTATCTTCTTAATAATTTAGGAGTAATAAGTGCCAAAATTTTGAAGAGGGAGAATACTGGAGCTTAATAGTTATTTTGTGTCAAGGCAAGAGAAAATCACTACGAAAAAGAATCCTCAGCTAATGTAAAGGTGAAACAAATATAAATGTAGAGTACTTAAGCCAAAATTCAAAATGTGGCTATTATAGGAAGTAAGATATTTCTAGTATTTGGGTTCCACTTTAGTTGTCTGCATTTTTTGATGACTAAAATTCAACAACAGCTTTGACTAAATGAAGCCTTTATTCCCCCACTGATAAGCTCTACAAAATTATGGTATTTGCTCAAGATTTCTAGCATTACCAATCAATCCTATACCTAAATATGCCTCATTTCCTGGAGTGAAGCTCATATTATCCAAATTCGCTTTCCAAAGGAATACCTCAAACAAAACTAAAAATGTTTAACAACAACTATTCAATTTTTTTTTAAAGTCAGACATATTTAGAATTCTTACCTCTTATTCTAAAAGTTTATAAAGTGCTGATGTAGTGTTCATCAGCCTTAACTTCACAGCAAACTCAAATCAACTTGTCTCTGACCTAGGATTACATTCTTTTCCTTCCTGTTTACAACAGTTTAATAGTGCTCAACTGATTCTCATTTTCTTCCCTCCAATTCTGGTTGCCAAGCGCCAACTATAGGAGGAAATTCTTTTTTAAAATATTATACACTAAAAATAAAGAAACAAAAAACTAAGGCATTACAAACTTTAGGCAAAGCAAATAGAGGTCCTGAGGAATTCAACACTCAGGAAAAAAGTTCAAGAGGGTTAGGTGAGACAGGCCCCAGCATTCTGGCTGGACCAAACCTCTCTCCAACAAACAGATCAACAGAAGACAAAAAGAATCCTTCCCCTCCCAGAATTGTTTTCTCTTAAAGAATCTACAGTAGGAGGGCCGGCTGCGTGGCTTAGCGGTTAAGTGCGCGCGCTCTGATGCTGGCAGCCCGGGTTCGGATCCCGGGCGCGCCCCGAGGCACCACATCTCCGTCCAACCCGAGGCCGAGTCCCACGTACAGCAACTAGAAGGATGTGAACCTACGACATACAACTATCTACTGGGGCTTTGGGGGGAAAAAATGAATAAATAAAATCTTTAAAAAAAAAAAAAAAAGAATCTACAGTAGGAAAAAATTATATGCAATTAACCACTTGAAAAATAGTATCCAGATTTATTTCAGCTCAAGCAGATGTTTTTAGAAACCACCTCTCCTTAAATTAGCAACAGGTTTAATCATAAAGGGAGGAAAACTTATTCTGGTTATTTTGGTTCACGTTTCATCTCTGTGAGATTGGTTATTATGTCAAAGTTTAATCTCAGCACAAATGAAATTAATTCAATAGTCAACTAAATGCAATAAAAAATTTTACAAAATAAATGTACATCTATGCCTCAAAAAATTAAAAATATGAGCCAGCACACTCATTTCTGGGTATATACCTAAAATAATTGAAAACAGGGTCTCAAAGAGATATTTGCACACCCATGTTCAAAGCAGCATTATTCACAATAGCCAAAAGGTGGAA